CGCGCCAGCGTCAGCCGCGCGCGATCGGGCACACTCTGGAGGGCCCTCGGGGCGCGCCAGCGCGCTCCGCATGCAAGCGGGCACGCGTTGAAACGCTCTCGGAGTGCGCCGAGGTGCACCGCGTGCGAGCGGGCGCGCACGAGAGAACCGCCGGGGCGCACCAGAGCGCGCCGCGTGCGATCTGGCACGCGCTGCCGAAGTGCACCGCGTGCGAGCAGGCGCGCCCGAGAGAGTCTTCGGGGCGCGCCAGAGCGCACTGCGAGCGAGCGGGCAAGCGCGGGCGCGCTCTCGGGGCGCGCCAGAGTGCGCCGCGTGCGAGCGCCCTCGGGGCGCGCCAGAGTGCGCCGCGCGTGAGCGGGCAGGCACGGATGCGCCCTCGGGTGGCGCCCGGCGGGAGGGGGGGGGGTGTGCATTTTGAGCAGAACCACGAAACTCGTGCGGGTGTTCCAAAGATGTTTTCTAGCTCGTGGGCCCCCCTTCCTGACCATCCCGGTCGGCGCGAACGAGACAGAGAGGGAGGCAGTCTACTCTGTGCCACGCACAAGGGGACAAAGGGGCAGCCCGCATTCCGCAGCGCATGGAGGCGGGCGAGTTAACTCGCGCCCGCCGACGTAGTGCATTTGGCACTCCGCTGAACGCTTCGCCCCTCAGTCGCCTGCTGCCCGACGATTGCCAGGGCTGGCACTCGTGCCGAAGAGAGAAGAGAGAGATGGTGTGCGTGTGCGTGTGTGTCTGCGTGCTCGTATGTGTGTGATTGCGTGTTTGCGTGCGTGTGTGTTTGCGTGCTTGTGGTTGCGCTTGGCGCTCGGGAGCGCGTGCGGATTGCCTCTGCCGCGCTGCGACCGAAAAGTGCCTGTGTGTGTGCCTGTGTCTGTGTCTGTGGCCGTGTGTAGATGTGTGCATGTGCGTGTGTGTGCGTGTGTGTATGCGTATGCGTGCACCCGTGTGTAAAAATCCGCACGGCGTCGGAGGTCCAGGGAACCCAAGGCATCCGACGGCCCGATGTGTTTCGGGGCATGGCTTCCCAGGACCTCTCGACCCCTCAAAGGCAGCACGCAGTCTTACAACTGTTCCGCCCGGGAAGCCTGGGTCAGGTGGGAGGGGGAGGGCGGGACTGGGGGGGAAGGGATCCAGACATCCGACGGCCCGATGTGTTTCGGGGCATGGTTTCCCGGACCTCCTCGACCCCTCAAAAGCAGCACGCAGTCTTACAACTGCTCCGCCCGGGAAGCCTGGGTCAGGTGGAAGGGGGAGGGCGGGACTGGGGGGGAAGGGAAGAGATTGGGCAGCGGCAGGTTAGGCGCCCTCGCGTTATAGATGACGCCCTACCCCATCCCACCCTTCCCTTCCCACGGCGCTGATGGATTCTCTATCCGCGGACATGTGTCACAGCAGACCTGGAACTCCAGAAAAGAGCCTTATCGTGCCAGGCGCAGTCGGAAAAGGGGAGAGAGGGGGAATGAGGACTGTCGAGGGTGAGGGCGGAGGTCGAGGGAAAGGGGGGAGGGGAGGGCGAGGGCGAAGGGGAGCGGGACGGGGGAGAAGAAGGGAGAGGGGGGGGGGGGGGGGGCGAGCGAGGCGGAGGGGGTCGGGGTGCAGGCGTTGGGGAGGCAGGGGGGCCCTCCGACGTTTTATCCTGACCCACGGGGGGCGCCGCCCCAGGAGGCCCCAAGCGGCCACCCCGAAAAAGACCTGCTCGCCGATCTGCCCGCCCAGACCCCCGACGTCAACGGCCGAACTCCACGCCACGTCAGCTCCGGGACCCCTCCCAGAGCTCTCCCCTCGGCAGAACTTCGGGTGTTCGTAAAGGAGGTGGTTATCCAAAGGTGGGGCTGGGGAGCGGGCCCAGCTGGATGCTCCCGTGTAACGCGCTTCCTTCTTCCAGGGGCCGTTCGGGGCGATTTTCCGTCCAACCCCACCTTTGCCCCAACCCCACCCTTTGTGCCCCCCCCGAGAATTGCATCCCCCCAGGCCCGAAACGGCCGCAGAGCCCGAGGACGCCTCTTGGCGAGATGGGCCGATCCAATTCCGCGGAGCCCCCGGGGCAAGCAGCGTGCGCGCGCGCGGCACGCCCTCGGCGTCGGCTCCTCTCCTCCTCCTCCTCCCTCCTCCTCCTCCTCCTCCTCTCCTCCTCCTCCTCCTCCTCCTCCTCCTCCTCCTCCTCCTCCTCCTCCTCCTCCTCCTCGAGGGAAGCGCTTCGCGCGCGCGCGCGCGACCCCGGCGGGGCCGGCTTCCGAGGCCAAGCGAGAGGGGCCGCAGGGGCGCGGGCTCCCGAAGCTCGGGGGCGAGGACGCGGAGGTCGCCCTGTCGGCGCCCGCCGGCACGCTGCTCCTCTTCAGGCCCCGCTGCCGCTTCCGCCTCCGCCCCTCCCCGGGCCTCGAGGGGCGGCGGCGTTCGAGACCCAGACCCCCTTGAGTAATGAAAAAATCATGACGGGAGGTTTTTCCTAGTTTTCGGCCTCTGGGGGCCTTCACCGGGCCTCGGGAGCGTCAAAAAACGACTCAGGATGCAAAGCCGGTCATGGGGAAAGGGTCGGGACCTCTGGGGGTCGACGTAGTGAAAAAATCATTACGTCGGGGGTCTGGGGAGGGTGGACACACGGAGGCCTCGGAGGCAAGGCGCTCGGTCCCTACTGCGCGACTCCCTGGGGGGTCCTCGTGGCCGCGGGGCGCAGCTCGGAGAAGTGCGGTGGCACCTGGGCACGGCCCGGGGCCCGGCTTTGAGCAGGCACGGGCTTCGGGAGAGAGGAGTCGGGGGCGCCCGAGCGGGGGGTGGTGGCCGGGGGGAGATCATGGCCAGGGCAATGATGCCTCGCCGGATGTCATGGCCCCTTAATTCTTCTACTTTCAACACGTCCCCTGCACCCCCCCCCCCCACACCCCCCCCACACCCGTGTCCGCGCACATGCCTCGGGCCATGATTTGCGACCCCCCTCCCCCAGGAGGAGGAGTAGGAGGAGGAGGAGGAGGAGGAGGAGGAGGAGGAGAAGTCCAGCCTCTTCCAGGAGGGCGACAAAATCGTAGGGGCCCTCCCACCTTCCTGAGGAGCCTCCTCAGAAGCCCCGCTCGGAGCCTCAGAATGCAGGGGGTCTTTCAGAGAAGGCCCGCCGCCTTCTTCGAAGGCCAGCTCCCTCTACATTCTTGCGGTTCTCGCGTCCCCTCGGGGCATCGAAGAAGGCCCCCTCAACGACAAGCTGGTCTCGGGGATGGGGTCGAGAGCTAAAGGCTTTAGGGGCAAAATCGCCAAACCAAAAAAAACAATGAAAAGACGTCGGAGCGACGGGCTCAGCTTTGTGAGGTCGTGGAGAGGGTCCCCCTTCGTTTGGCGCACTATGGAATGAACATCGCAAATACGGAAACACATGGTCACCATCATGTTGCCTCGGCCCCGTTTCTGCTCTCATCTTCCTCCTTCGGCGGCTGCCGCTTTCGAGGCAGAGTGGGATAAGTCTGGGGCGCAGCCCAATACCAGTCGTGAAGCCCTTCGCCACGGAAGGCAGGTTCACTTGTGTTGTTCCGCGGCCGGCCACTGAAACAAAGACCGTAGAGAAATTCTGCGGCCCCCCGCTGCAGACGTTACTTGCCCTTCTGGAGGCCTCCAGGGATTGGATCTTTCGCCATGAAGCAAGGGGTCCCAAGGGCAAAGGGGCGCTGCCTCGTTTCGCCGTTTGGAGCCTCCTTGGGCCCTCTACGGGCCCCGGGATTGGCGGAAGACGACTCAGGACGAAGCGCTGGTCTGGAGGCAAGGCCTCGGGGTGGACCCGTGCCTTTCCGAACCCGATTGCGTCACACCAGACTTCGGGGGCTTCGGGAGGCGCTCGGCAGCTGCCGGAGGCCCCCGGGGAGACCGCGGCGGGCGCAGGTGCTGGCGCGCGCGAATCGCGGGCGGCTCGTCGGCGGGTGGCGGGTCAGGGCACGATGGGCCCAGCGGGGCCCCACGCCTGCCGAGCGAAGAGGAGGCGAGGAGGAGGAGGAGGACGAGGAGGAGGAGGAGGAGGAAGAGGAGGAGGAGGAGGAGGAGGAAGAGGAGGAGGAGGAGGAGGAGGAGGAGGAGAGAGGAGGAGGAGGAGGAGGAGGAGGAGGAGGAGGAGGAGGAGGAGGAGGAGGAGGAGGAGGGAGAGAGGAGGAGGAGGAGGAGGAGGAGGAGGAGGAGGAGGAGGAGGAGGAGGAGCAGGACGGGCCCCACGTCTCCCGATCCCGAGCGAAGGGGAGGAGGCGGAGGAGGAGGAGGAGGAGGAGGAGGAGGAGGAGGAGGAGGAGGAGCAGGAGGAGCAGGAGGGGCTTTTCGCGTTGGCGGGCTGTTGGGTGCGCTTCTGGTGCCCATTCCTGACTTGGTGCTGTAACTGCTGTGCGCACGGTGCCCCTTTGCTCACTTCCCCCGGCACGGGCACCTCGTACAGCCCAGCCCCATCGATCCAGGCCTTCCAGATTGGGTCCTAGTAGATGGGATCGGATGATCGCGCCGCATCGCCGATGCATCGGCGACTTTTGCGATGCATCGGCGACGTCGGCGTGGAGAAAGTCGGGCTCCTCATCGTGCCGCATCGGCGATGCGGCGCGATCCTCCGACCCCACCTGCTCTGACCCCAGACCCCATCTGGGAGGCCTTCCATCAGGAGGGAAAACAACACAGACACAAATGATCGACGATTCCCCAGAAAATATTGGAAACATGGGAAGTGGCGGGGAGGATGGACATACATATCGGGAATCCTGGGATGTGTGTATTTGCCTGTGTGTCCCTTGGCCCCTTTCATTTCATCGAACGAGCGAGGAGGAGGAGGAGGAGGAGGAGGAGGAGGAGGAGGAGGGGAGGAGGGGGAGGAGGGAGGAGAGGAGGAGGAAGGAGGAGGAGCCAGAGGAGCAGGAGGAGGAGGAGGAGGAGCCAGAGGAGCAGGAGGAGGAGGAGGAGGAGGAGCAGGAGAAGCAGGAGGAGCGGCAGCGCCCAGACAGCACAGGCCAGACTGCTGGGCCCTCGAGTGCGAGGCGCGCGCCCGCTCCATGCTGCTGGCGGCCTCGTGCCTCTCCGCGGCCCCCGAGATGGAGATGCTGTCCGTGGAGGGCGACCAGGGCCTCCTGCTCGCCGCCGGGGGCGGGCCGCCGCCGCCGCCGGGCGACGGGCTGGTCAACGTCATGTCCATGGGCGTCAGGACGCTCGATCCTCCCCCCCCTCCTCCTCTCCTCCTCCTCCTCCTCCTCCTCCTCCTCGTCCTCCTCCTCCTCCTCCTCCTCCTCCTCCTCCTCCTCCTCCTCCTCTTCCTTCTCCTCCTCCTCCTCCTTCTCCTCCTCCTCTCCTCCTCCTCTGGGGGCAGCGTGGGGAAGGGTTGGGGCCGGCTGAGGGCCTGAGGTGGCCTATGCCTTGATTGCGACAAGCAGGAAGGGGGGAAGAGGTTCGAGGTGCTGAGTTCGAGGAGGCGATTGGCCTGTTCTGGCCTCCAAGGCCGTGTTCGGGCCCCGGGGCCGTCGAAAGTGGACATTGGGTGAAAAGCGACTCACTATCCGCTTCCCGGTCCCCAGGCGTCAACGTCCCGAGCGTTGCCGTGCCCCCCGCTCCGCGGAGCGGAGCGACATGCTATCCGCTTGCACGGCACAGCGTGTCGCTGGGGCTGCCGCCGCAGCACGCTGTCCCAAAGTTCCAGGCCGTAGGCTCAGGATTGGAGCCCATGGACCTCCGATCACCCAGTGATCGCCGATAGTGGCCTGATGGCCCACCCCGCCCGTTAGCGTGCGGGTGAGCCATCGTGGGCCTGTCGCTGCTTGGTCGGCGATGTGTCGCCGATTACATGTCGATGTTTCCCCTCTTAGCCAGTCCCCCCCTGTCATTCCCCCTCACAGGATGCCAGGGAGCATGAATGCGCCCGAGGACGCCCTGGCGTTCCTGCTCAGCTGCACGGACGGAGTGTCCAAGATCCCGACCGAGCGCTTCGACATCGACACGTACTTGGCTTGGGACGTGGAGTCCATGGAGCCTTGGCAAACCTACGCATCGCACATGTCGGTGGTGGAGGGCGCGGAGTTCTTTGACAACAAGGAGTTCGACATAGCGCCCGCAGAGGCCGAAGGCATGGACGTGAGGCAGCGGCATATCTTGGAGGTCGGCTGCATGGCCTTGGCAGGCATCGGAATCACCAAGCAGCTCGCCAATCGCCAGCCATACAACGCCGCTGTGGGAGTCGGCACCGACGGCTGGGAGTGGCGCCTGCTGAAAGCGAACGACCCCGGGGGCGCCTGCGGGCCTTCGAACAACGCGCTGGCCATCACGGCCAACAGGTTCAGCTTCGTCTACAATCTCAAGGGGCCCAACTTCCTCATGGACACGGCCTGCTCCGCCTCCCTCTACGCCGCCCACTACACCAAGCTGTCGCTGCTTCAGCAGCGGGACGTGGACCCGCTGGATTTTGCGCTCGTGGTCGGCACCCAGCTGTTCATCCTACCGGATGGCTTTGTTGGCTGTGCCCAGGCGCACATGGCGTCCCTCGAGGGCCGTTGCAAGACCTTCAACAGTACCGCGGATGGCTATCAGCGCGGCGACGGTACCAATGCTTACACGATTAAGTACGGCGATTTCCGGCGGGACCGCCTCGCCCTCTTGCGCGGTTCGCACTGCAACCAGGACAAATAGACATTCGGCGGAAAGAATGTGTTCCCGTCTCTGCCGTGCTCCTCATGATCCTCGGCCTCATCATCGTCCTCGTCCCCGTCTTCCTCGTCCCCTTCGTCCTCATCTTCATCCTCGTCATCCTGTTCCCCCTTCACCCGTCCTTGACATCCGCTGTCATGTTTTCAACCCGCGGCCCCAGCGCTCCCGACCGCTTCCCCAGGGGGAGTTCTTCGTCCAGGATCCGTTTTTGGTGGCCCCAGGGCCCGATGACGGCCCCCGAGGGCCGAGACCGAGGAAAAGACACCCGTGTTGCGAAGAGTCGTGTCGTCGGAGATCTGGGCCGTCCTCACCTCCCGGGCATGTGGAGGGGGGTCGAGGGGCGGTGGCAGCCGGGCGGGGCTAGGACAGGGACATAGGATAAATCGTTTCAGAGCGCTCCGGAACTGCCGCGGCGCCCGATACATCCTCCAGAATTGCAGGATCTGAGAGATCCTGGCCCGATGTTGTCCTTGTGCTTCGAGTGGGGGATCGCCTACAGATTTTTGTTACCCCCAAGCCTTGCCTGTTGAATCTGCAGCAAGATACGCAGAGTGCTCCGTAGATCTACGGAGCCATGCGGGACCTATGCGTATTTTTCGTGCCAAGCCTGGGCTGAATCGATTCTGCAGTCAATCCCCTGCTCGAGTCCTGGTTTCGTCTTACGGACGGTGTTCGACGGCGGTGGCGGGCCCGAGCTCTGGGTGCCATCCCCGCGCCAGGACGGCCGCAGCGCGAGCCTCACGGCGCCCAACGGCCCGGCCCAGGAGCAGTGCATCTGGGGCGCCTTCCGCGACGCCCGGACCACGCCTCCGGAGTCCACGGTGTGCGCGGATCCTCTTCTCGGGTCCTCCTCCTCCGCCTCCTCCTCCTCCTCCGCCTCCCCCTCCTCCTCCTCCTCCTCCTCCTCCTCCGCCTCCTCCGCCTCCTCTCCTCCTCCTCCTCCTCCTCCTCCTCCTCCTCCTACTCCGACTCCGACTCCGACTCCGACTCCGACTCCGACTCCAACTCCTCCGCCTCCTCCTCCTCCTCTCTCCTCCTCTCCTCCCTCCGCCTCCTTCTCCGCTTCCCTCCTCCTCCTCCTCCTCCTCCTCCCTCCTCCTCCTCCTCCTCCTCTTCCTCCTCCTCCTCCGCCTGTTGCTGGAAGTGCCCTTGGCCCAAGGTGCCCCCAGTATTTCCAAGGAGGCCCTCGCTGTCTCCAGAGTCACCCCTCACGGGGCCCCAGGGGCTCCAGAATGGAGCCGAAAGCTTGGGGCACCAGTTGCACCTTTCGCAACCCCCGATCCTCCACCCTCCGCCTCCCCCTCGACATCCCTGCGTCGTGAAAGAGCTCGTGTCGACTACAGAACTCATGTACCCCAAACTTTGGCTTTTTCCGTCGAAGCCTTGGAAAATCCGTAGAATGCTCGACCTACAAACATTCTACGTATTTCTCGCAGACTCGACGAGACAATCAGTTCTGGCTAAATCAATTCTGCAGCCGATGGACCGCCAGAAAGTCTCCCCGGGATGGAAAGACGGGAGCGGTGCTCGGAGGCTGCTGCAGTCAGGACCCGCTGCCTCCGCGCGTCGCGCCGCTGGCTCCTGGCCCACCACCGCGCCCAGGTCCCCCGGGCGTCGACGCCCCGAGCCTTTGCCCAGCGCCCCGCCCCGCGACGCAGAGCGAGGCGCTGATCGGCCTGCACGGCACGGCGTGACGCACCGCCCACCAAACCACCCCAACCCAACCCGAAGGCCCCGATTTGCCCTCCATTTCCAGTTGGGGGGGGGTCGGGGAACGTTGAGAAAACACACATGAAGCCCGTACCCCCCCCCCCAACCCGAAATTCGGGTCTTCGGGTTGGGTTGGGGTGGTTTGGTAGGTAGTCAGTGACGCCAGTGCCGCCGCCGCGCCGCGCTGTCCGAGAGCGCCTGGCCGCAGGGCCCCCACCCTGCCAAGGCGATTCGGGGGTTGCCGTTTCTTTTTTGGAGGTCGGTCCATGGAGAGGAAGCGTGCTGCCAAATATTCTTCCCAGATGTCTGAAGCATGTTTCAAACATGTCTTGAATGTGTAAAAAACATGTTTGATACATGTTTAGAACATGTTTTGCACATGTTAAACTAATGTTTAATTCAACGATCGGATTGTTAGAGTGTCCACTGCCATCGCATCCACAACCCTTTCTGGTCGCTTCTCCAAAAAGGTTGCGACAGCCGCAGTGTTTGCGGGCCTGCGCCCGCCGGATCCGGTCCCCGGCCCCTGGCACCAAAAAGGGTGCTCTTGTGCCCCCCCCCGGCGTGCGTGCGGCTCGTGCTCCGCCATCCGCCGCCCCCCCAAGGCCCCGAGGCGTCGCGAGAGAAGAGACGGCCGGCTTCTGTGGCCCCAGGGGTCGCTTCCGAACCTGAGGGCGACGAAACATGGACTCGCGGCGCGAAATCCATGCCAAGGTGGGGTCGAGAGCTCTGGAACTCCGTTGGATACACAGAAGAACGTCGGATATCTGGGTCATCCGCATCCTCTTATGTTGGGAAGGAAAGTTCGCTTCCTAACTGAGACACCACAGCTACCAAACCATACCTAACTGGTCGCCAGAAGGGGCACACGAAGAGAAGACTTGTTGGTTGGTATGACTAGGTGTGGCTAAGAAGCGAAGGCGCGGGTCGACCGCCGTCCTCTGGGATTGGCCTCTTCATCCTCATCCATCTCAACATCACCCTCTTCCATCCGTTGTCCTTCTAGATAGCTAATCCTCGTCTCCCCCCAGCCGTGAGCGCACGTTGGGCCGGGCGCTTCTCTGCATATTTTCTCACAATGACCGACGCCGATGCTCAAACACGGACTGCACACTTGGAGGGCGGCCCGCTTTCAGAATGGCGCTCGCTCTCGCCTGGGATTCCCCTAAGCTTGCATGGTACCGATGGTCCGAGCTCTACAGAAGTTGCACACTTGTAGGTTGGCCCGTTGTGAAATTACGGTCTCGCCCGAGACTGCCCCATTACTTACGATACCGACGCTCAAACTGATCGACATCACCTACACACTTGGAGGGCAGGTCCTTTTCAAAAACGTGCTCTGGACTGCGAGGTCCTCAAATGTTTTGATACCGATGCTGAATGTTTGGCAGCGGCCACACGCTAGGGGAGCGCGGTTCTTTTTTGTCAAATTGGGTGTATCGCTTGATATCCGTAAGGGCTTCGCCCCCTGCCGCCGGCCCCCTCTCTCGGAGAATGGGCCATGGAAGAGCTAAGTCATGAGGCCTTGGCGCTGTCGTGAAGCAGTATCGAAACTTCATGCGAAGCCGATTCGCAATCAGCAAAACCAACTGATCACAAGAGGGGTTACCACACCTGGCGATTGGTAAGACGTGTATGGTTTACGGGCTTGGTTACCACACCTTGCGATTAAAGGGCCGAGGGAGTTCTCGCAGTTTGGGTTACCACGCCTTGCGATGGATGTGCGTGAAGGGTGGCACCGAATTTCAGAAATGTGGCAAATCCCCTGTGTTTTTGGACCCTGACCCCGCGGATCTGCGTGAGGGGTGGCACCGAATTTCAGAAATGTGGCAAATCCCATGTGTTTTTGGACCCTGACCCCGCGGATCTGCGTGAGGGGTGGCACCGAATTTCAGAAATGTGGCAAATCCCTGTGTTTTTGGACCCTGACCCCGCGGATCTGCGTGAGGGGTGGCACCGAATTTCAGAAATGTGGCAAATCCCTGTGTTTTTGGACCCTGACCCCGCGGATCTGCGTGAGGGGTGGCACCGAATTTCAGAAATGTGGCAAATCCCCTGTGTTTTTGGACCCTGACCCCGCGGATCTGCGTGAGGGGTGGCACCGAATTTCAGAAATGTGGCAAATCCCATGTGTTTTTGGACCCTGACCCCGCGGATCTGCGTGAGGGGTGGCACCGAATTTCAGAAATGTGGCAAATCCCATGTGTTTTTGGACCCTGACCCCGCGGATCTGCGTGAGGGATGGCACCGAATTTCAGAAATGTGGCAAATCCCTTGTGTTTTTGGACCCTGACCCCGCCGATCTGTGTGAGGGGTGTCGATTTCGAGCCCCCCCAGGAATTCAGACAACGCGCCCAGGAGGTGCTAAATATCTGGTTTGGGCCTCCCCCCCCCTCGCGCGGTCCATCAACTGGTTACAGTAACCAGCAAGAAGCAGAACTGCAACATTGGGAACTACAGGCTACAACTGGTACAGGAAGCTGCGCACCCGCGCCTACAGCCTGGTGGCCCCACAAGGGGGCCGGCGGATTCCCCGACATGACGTAAAGCCATGTTTCAAAAATTGGAGGGCGGCCCCCTTTCAAACTGGAGCTCTCGCTTTCAATGTTACTCGAAGATCATGGCCAGAGGTGTAAATCTGTGAAACAGTTACTCAGATACTTAGGGCCTCCTCCTCCTCGTCTTCCTCCTCCTCCTCCTCCACCTCCTCCTCGGCAGAAGTGTTCCTGGCCCAGGGTGTCGCGGTTTTCGTGCCTTGGAATTCTTGGGGCCCTCTGGGCCTCGTCAGGGATGCTCTGAAAGGGGGGGTATACCCTGGAAATCCTGGGGGCACCCTTGGCCAAGGCCACGCTCTCTGGCAACACCTGGAGAAGTGGGTCTTGACCACGCCGCGTAAACTTCTCTGGCTGGCCCCAGGTGTGGGAGTGCCACGGAACCGGCACGGCGCTCGGCGACCCGATCGAGGTCGGGGCCGTCAGGAAGGTCCAGACCAAGCACAGGCCAACTGGAGAGGAAATCGAGAAGCGAGAAACGGCACAGAGTAGGTAATTCTGTCCGTCTTGGAGGGCGCTACCCCGCACGACTGGCGGCTGGGGACAGAGAAGCAGCCCGGCCGCTGGGGACTTTGCATCCCCACGGTGGCACAGAGTGCAGCTCGGGGGGGGGCCGCTCGGCGGAGACATCTTCGTCTGTTTCGCTTCCCGTCTGTCGAGGAGACTTGGCATTGCTCGGACGTGGTGCCTTTTTTTCTCAGCGAGGACGATCGAGGAGCATCTTGGATCATGTCGCGAGAAAAAACAGCGACACCGACAAATGCACGGGGAATGGACGTCCGAGCGATGGCAAGGAGAGGACGGGAGGGCCGGGCCACGCCGTCTGGGAGTCTGGGCCCTTCCATGGGAGGGCTGCCAGGTGCCCCATTGAAGGATCCCAGGCCTGCCTGGGAGCCCCCGACCCTGTCAGGTGCGGCCAAGCATGGGGGCAATGACAAGGGCGGGGGGGGGATATCATGGCCAGGGCCATGAGACCTCCCCGGATGTCATGGCCACATATTCTTGTTTCAATACCTCCCTGCCTCCCCATGGGGCCTCGGGCCACGATGCGCTAACCCCCCTCTTGGACGCCCCTTCTTGGACGACCCTCACACTTCTGAGAGGGCCTACCATGTCGCCCCTGCCCCCCATGCCTGACCGCCGAGCAGGCGGCCTGAGCCCTTGATGATCAGCACCATCAAGTCGAACATCGGGCACTTGGAGGGGGGAGCCGCCATGAGCGCCCAGATCAAGTGCATCATCCAGGTCTCGTCCACCGCTTGCTTTGCGACGAGCCACCTCCTGGGTAGTCGAAGGCCAGACTGCCAGATTGGATTGGGCCCCAAGGGCCAATCTGGCTTGGCCAAGCTGGATGATTTGGGTCATTCGCCAGACTGGATTCGCGTTGGCTCACTCGCCAGATTGCCCCCGTTTGCCAGATTGGGCCTGCCAGATTGGCGCCAGATTGTCGGGTCGGGCGAAAGGGGGGGATTGGGAAAGGGGGGGTTACGAAATTTGCTGCATGCAGCTGGTTTCGGCCCCGCCGAGGGGCCCATTCCTCGATACATAGCCGCCTCCGGCGCCGGGAAAATCAGCTACGTGAGCTGATTCTCAAACCCCCCCTTTGCTATCCCCCCCTTTCGCTTGACCCGAGATTGGCTTCGACTACCCAGACCTCCGCATCCTGAACCGGCACCTGGACCACGCGGCGTTCGAGGCGCTCTTCGAGACCGAGGGCGCCCGGTTCCGCCATGCCCAGGGCCACAGCCAGGCTCGCGGCACCGATGAGAAGACATCCAGAGCCAGAGATCGGCTACCGTAATGGAGGATGATGATTAAAATGATGGGAGCGTTTTCCACCACCACCACCATAAGTTGGAGGGAGGAAGAGGGAGGACGAGGAGGAGGACGAAGAGGAGGAGGACGAAGAGGAGGAGGAGGAGGGCACCCTCCCCCTCCAACTTATGGTGGTGGTGGTGGAAAACAGGCCCATCATAAAAAATGACCGGGGGTCGTGTTCACGCGGCGGCGCCCGGGATGATGATCAGAAAAAACCGGCCCCGGGCTGGGAAAATTTTTTTTTTAATCGTCCCCCCCCCCCCCCCCCGCCGTCCTCGGGCGCGCGCCCCCCCCCCCCGGTGACGAAACACCGCACAGGCGAGCCCTGCTTCTGAGCGTTCCCCCCCGGTGTGGGAAACTATTTTTTTATCGTTCCCCCCTCCTTTTTTCTTAATCGTCATCCCACATTACTCGCTTTCCTCTATTTCCCTTCCCTTTTCGCGTACTGTTTCGATGCGGGCAACTCGAATGGACGAGATGCCGACACGGTGTTCCGTGGTATGATCCTGGCAGCCACGGGCTCGATTCCGATTCGGCTCGGGCGCGGGCGAAACGACACGCTGCGACTCACGGTAGGTCACGGCGCGTCGCTTCGTCCGCGCCCAGCGGGTCCGGTTGGCGTGCAGATGCCGCCCTGGTTTGATCCCGTCGTGCTTGCTGTTTCGCGTGCAGTCGGCCCCGATTAGTAGGTCGACCCTGCCAGATCAAGGGTACCCTTGTGTCCTGTGCCTCGCGACCCGTGCCTTCTTGCACTCCTGCGGCGATGTGGCCCTCGGAAGGGCCTTGTGTCCTCTCGCGTGTCCTGTCCGATCGAGTCCGACTGCAGCCACGCGGCTCTGCAGCAGGTGTCCTCGTTCGGCTTCGGGGGCTCGAACGGCCACGCCATCTTCTGGGGCGACAGCATCGACCACCCGCCCACCATCCTCGCGGCGGCCCAGAGGAGGCTCAGCATGGCGAGGGTTCCAGAGGCTCGAGGGCCCATCCGCACGAGGAAGGAGGACGGTCGGTCGGATGGTCTGGCTTTTGTGTTCCCCAAGAGCAGCTTCAAGAGGTGCCCAGGTCCAGGCCATGTTGTTGCCTGGCGTGGGCGCCGCTGCGTTCGCCATCCGGCCGGCACGCATGCCAGCAGAAGCGTCCGTGCTGACGCTCGCATCAGTTTCCGCTCGAGCCCCCACGTTCCTTGCTGGCACGAGCTCTAGGTCGACCAAGCGTTGAAAGTTGACGTTCGCGTTCGTTGTCGTCGCCTCAGCCGTCCCTCCAGCTGTTAGCACTTACCTTTTGCAATCGCTCTGGCGTGCGCTGTCACTTGAGCTTGATCTGGCTCGTTCGCATTGTTTTTGGCTGAAGCTGCAGGATTCCTTGTAGCGTTGCTTCGCGTTTGTCGTCGCACCCGTTTCAACGTTGGCGTGGTGTGATCAGCATTAGTTATACAATTTCGGGGGTCAGCCGAATTCTTTACGTTTTGTGTACCATCCAGAAACGATGCCCAGGCGAGTTGACCTGACCAGAGCAATGTAGCAACACGCATCCAATACGGAACGAATTGTAAGTTTGCGGACCTTCCGAAGGAGGAAGAAAAGGAAGGATTAATAAGAGGAGGCGGAGGGGAAGGGATGACAGGGGAGAAGGAGGATGAGGAGGAGGCGGAAGAGAAGGTGGATGACGAGGAGTTGGGGGAGACAAACAACAACCACGACGACGACGACGACGACGACGCCGACGACAGATGTGCACGGTATTGTAGGGTCTCTTGTTGCCATATTTGGAGGCCTGGAGGGCCATCTTGAGTCTCTTGGGGCCCCTTGGGGGTCTCTTGGGAACTTCTCGGGGGCCTCTTGGGGGGTTCTTAGGGCTTCCTGCGGCCGCGACCGCCCCCCGTCCAGATCCAGGGGGGAAGGGGTCAAGTCACCCTCCCCGCCCGCAAGCTGCCTCGCTCACACCCATCCGCCCTCACCACACACAAGTAGTACCCGAGCCGCAGCGTGTTCAGCGGTAGTCTTTGGATGGACAGCTAATGGCAACCAAACCAGACCCCATGTGCGCAACGCTGAGGCGCGGTGCGCCAGGCGTGCCAGGCGCGCCACATGCGCCATGTGCGCCAGGCATCCCTGTTGCCCAAGCGTGCTGGGCACGCCTGGTGCGCCAGATGCGCAACGTGATCCACGTGCGCGACGTGTGCCGCATGCTCAAGCCGCGCCGGGTGCGCCACGTTCGGGGCACGCGCAGAGTGTACCAGGTGCGCTTGCTCACATGGCAGTCTACATCGGGAAATAAAGGGGTTCGGCGGCCCAGGGGGGCTGCCCTGGGAAGCCTGGACGGAGGGGCGGTGCCAAGGGGGGGTGGCCCAAGGGAGCTGGGGCTCAGGCTCAGGGGAGGGGCCGAGGGTGACGAACCACCACGACGAAAATAAAGAGTTCGGCGGCCCAGGGGGCCTGCCCTGACAATCCTGCACGGAGGGGCGGTTCCAAGGGGGGGTGGCCCAGAGAAGCTGGGGCTCAGGCTCAGGGGAGGGGCCGAGGGGCACAAACTCAGGCTCAGGGGAGGGGCCGAGGGGGACGAACCACCACGACGAAAGTACAGAGTTCGGCGGCCCAGGGGGGCTGCCCTGGGAAGCCTGGACGGAGGGGCGGTGCCAAGGGGGGGGTGGCCCAGGGGAGCTGGGGCTCAGGCTCAGGGGAGGGGCCGAGGGGGACGAACCACCACGACGAAAATAAAGATGTCCGAGCTCTAGAGCACAGCTGTGCAAGAGAAAAAAACAGATGGGAAGTGGTGGGGTGGGGGGGGGCAGGCGAAACTCCAGAAAATACCAGAACGTATGTGGGAATCATTGGATTTGTGTGTGAGTTCATTTGTGTACCCCTGGGCCCCTTTCAGAGGGGGAGGGGTCGGGGGGAGAGGCCCCGCCTGCCCCTGCCCGTGACCCGCGGGTGCCATCAGGCCGCCTCCAGACCCAACCAGGGGGCCCAAAAAGCTCCCAGCAGAGAGAGGCCGGGCATCGCTCGGACGTGTGCGTTGTTTCCTCGGCGGGGACCATCGGGGAGCATCCTGGATCACCGAGCCCAAAAACACGCACGAAAACTAAGAAGGCTCGGGGATTGGACGTCCAAGCGATGACCAGAAACTCCCAGCAGGAGGAGGGGGGGGGGCGGGGGGGGGAGAGAGAGAGAACGAGTAAAAGGGCGCAAGAGTTCGGGCGGAGTGCCGTCCAGGCCTGGCGGGAGGCGGGAGGTGCCGCATGAGTTGCAGGGGTGGGGAAACCATCCATCGGTCGATCAAAGTAGGTCGTCTTTTTGGATTTCAAGTTCCAATCTATTTTCTGCGTCTTCCTACTTCAATGATCGAGCGGCTTCACCTCTTCCAGTCTCTTCGGGGGGCGGGCGGAAGCCCAATCTGTCTTCAGCGCCCTCCTGCTTCAGGTTTCTGCCTGCTTCTTCCGACCGATGGGTACTCCAGATTTCGTAATAAAAGGGAGGGGGTCTGGACCCTTCAAGACAAGCCATTTCAGACCCCCCCCGTGGGAGAACCCTCCAAAACATCGTCCCCAGACCCCCCCAGGCCCTCCAAGATAGCCTGGAAGAGACCCCCCCCCCCGAAATGACACCCCCCTTCCTTTCTTACGAAGTCTGGAGTGCCCTCCCCCCTGGCGCGGCCTGGGAGGGCTGCGAGAACGCGTGAGAGGGGGAGCAGAGGGAAGCCGGGGGCGGGGTGAGAGGCGAGGCAGAGGACGTCGCCGAGGCGGGCGGCCTCCCCCCTGGCGCGGCCTGGGAGGGAGCAGAGGGAGGCCGGGGGCGGAGCAGGCGAGGACCGCCCGCCCGCCTCGGCGACGTCCTGGCCGGCCTGGCCGGGCGGAGGGTGGCCGCCCCCGTGGGCCCTGCTGCCTCTGCCCCAGCGCCCCGCCTGCGTGCGAGGCGCACTCGGCCCACCTCGGGGGGGGACGGCCAGCCTCGTCAGCCTCGAGAGAGAGAGAGAGAACGAGAAGCAAGAGGAGCAAAAAGAGAAGCAAAAGGAGAAGCAACGAGAAGAGACCGAGAGCGAGAGGCAAGAAGAGCAACGAGAGATGTCCCCATGCCCATCCCCACCAGCCCACCACCCCGGTTGGGGATGTGGCCCTCGAGACCCGAAGGAAACTGCCCACATCCCCCATCCAGGGGGCGAATCGGCCAGTGGGGCCCAGGCCACGCCAGAAGGGACAGGGACCGGTTCAAGGATGCTCGGACAGGGCGAGGGGAGGGGGGGAGGAATAAGGCTCTGCCCGAGAGGGGGGGCACGAGCAGCCATCTCGAGCCCTCTGCCCCGAGGCGCCCATGACTGCCCACGCAGCACTTCAATTCAAGGAGACTGCCACCACACATCAGCGCCGCAATGGCACCGAAGACGTGGGCAAACGCCCGCGATGGAAGAGCCTGGGCCGGCGCAACGAGCGAAGCGATTAGCGGCCCCACTGGGTGCGGCGTGTGAGATCCCCGCCGCATGGTCTGCAAGGACTTTTCCCGCCCAATCTTCTGACCTGTGCACTCCTCGCACTCGTTTCCTCAGAGCCCTGGCAACCCCTTCTGGGAACCTCCCCGCGGCCTGCTCGTTCCGCTGGCCCCGGGGCCTCGGAAAACAACGGGCGTCCGAAGACCAAGTCACGTTGCTCTCAATCTCTCCGTATCCCTCTTCAGTTTCGTTCCCAGTTCTCGAGCCCTTCCAGCGCCGTTTGGGATCTTTCTCGGAGCCTCTTCCTCCTCCTCCTCCTCCTCCTCCTCCTCCTCCTCCTCCTCCTCCTCCTCCTCCTCCCTTGGGGCTCTCTCGAGGCACTCTTTTGGCTGGTTCGGGGCAGTCTTCCGGGGCCGACCTCGGGCCCTCCTATAGTCTTCCTGGGCAGGCAGCGTTCCCCCGCCAGGCTTCGACCTGCTGCCCATCCCCGGCACTCCAGATTTCGTAATAAAAGTGCGTTGTTTCCTCGGCGGGGACCATCGGGGAGCATCCTGGATCACCGAGCCCAAAAACACGCACGAAAACTAAGAGGGCTCGGGGATTGGACGTCCAAGCGATGACCAGAAACTCCCAGCAGGAGGAGGGGGGAGGCGGGGGGGGGGAGAGAGAACGAGTAAAAGGGCGCAAGAGTTCGGGCGGAGTGCCGTCCAGGCCTGGCGGGAGGCGGGAGGTGCCGCATGAGTTGCAGGGGTGGGGAAACCACCCATCGGTCGCTGAAAGTAGGTCGTCTTTTTGGATTTCAAGTTCCAATCTACTTTCTGCGTCTTCCTACTTCAATGATCGAGCGGCTTCGCCTCTTCCAGTCTCTTCGGGGGGCGGGCGGGAGCCCAATCTGTCTTCAGCGCCCTCCTGCTTCAGGTTTCTGCCTGCTTCTTCCGACCGATGGGTACTCCAGATCTGGTAATAAAAGGGAGGGGGTCTGGACCCTTCAAGGCAAGCCATTTCAGACCCCCCCCCGTGGGAGAACCCTCCAAAACATCGTCCCCAGACCCCCCCAGGCCCTCCAAGACAGCCTGGAAGAGACCCCCCCCCGAAATGAGACCCCCTCCCTTTTTATTACGAAATCTGGAGTATGCTTCCTCTCGGACCGCGCTTGCGCCGATTCCCTCTCTGACGCCCTCCGCTCTGTAAGTTGCCCTCTTCTGCCTCCAACTCGCCTCCCGCAATCTCCACGTCCCCAAAACGGTGCGCCACTCCCAGGGCCTATCTGGCCACGATGGGTCCGAGAGGGCCGTCCTGAAGCCCTCTCGGGCCCATCTTAAGCCGTCGGGCCGCTCTTTTGGCGCCCTCTTAAGCCGTCTTGGGTGCGCCCAGGGGGTCCCTGGAGCTCTTTCGGAGGCCCCAAAACTCACTCGTGTTTGCTCCTTTCAGTGTCTCTCTATACCTCTGCGGCTTCGTTCTCAGTTATCGACGCATTGGGGTGCCCTTTGATGCCGTTGTCGAAACCTCTCGCGGCCCTCGTGGGCCGTCTTTCCTTTTTAGGAGGGGTCAACAGGCGCCGTCTTCGAACCCCCCCCTCCCAAAATCTCGGCGATCCAGGAAAAGTGGAGCGGCGGGGTCTGCCGCTTCCGGGGCGTTCGATCCAAGGAAGCCCTGCTTCCGCCTCAGACCCCGGCTCCGAAAGACACCCGGCTCGTTTGGTTGTAGGCTCCGAGATCTGGGTATCGCTCGGACGTGTGCCTGTGTCCTCCGCGGGGACCGCCGAGGAGCATCTTGGGATCACCCTGCAGAAAGGAAGCGCACGAGCTGGGCAAAATGCCCGGGGAATTCAGGAGGGGAAGAAACACACAGACACAATTAACCCTCGATTCCCCAGAACATATGGGAAAATAGGGGCAGTGGGGGGGAAGACAAAAACCCAGAAAATATGGGAAAATATGGGGACTATTTTTATTTGTGTGTATTTATTTGTGTGTCCTACTTTCCCTTTGGGAATGGACGTCCGAGCGATGGCGAGAGGTCCTCGATGGTCGGGGGGCAAAGCCCAGCAGGGAGAAAAGGGCAGGGGGCAGGAGGGCGGAGGGCGCGACGAGGGCCGCCGGGCGCGAGGAGGGCCGCCTTTCCTTATCCTCCTCTTCCTCCTCCTCCCCTCCCCTCCTCCTCCTCCTCCTCCTCCTCCTCCTCCTCCTCCTCCTCCTCCTCCTCCTCCTCCTCCTCCTCCTCCTAGTGGCGAGGCGTCGTGGCGTGCTTAGAGGCCCACCGAAGAATGGTCTCAGAACCTTTGTGCGGTTTGCGCGAGATGCTCGTAGAGCTTTTCTGGCTGTGGCAGTGTTGGTGTGAAAGGTGGGGCTTGCGTTCTAAGAACCTGCCGTGGTAGGCCTGCAGAAATGCCGGGACGGTCGGTCCTTGCTCAATTCATGCTGGCGGGCGGGAAAGAAGGGATGGGGAGGGCGGACCCTGCGATCTAGGCGCTGCATGTTTTGTCACACCACAGGCGTTTTTCGCCAGTTCTCGGGCACCGGGACCAGCAAAGATCGATCCCACTTGAAGATGCCGCCTGGAGGCGGGGTCTTGGGCTCGGGTCGTGATGTTTGGCGATGTCGCATGTTTGCTCGGGGCGTCAGATTTCAGGGGAGGGCCTACGGTTGGGAATTCTTGGTTAGCGTGTCGCTCCGCCGGTTCTGGTCCAACATGCCCGTGCACAATACGCTATCCACCTCGCTGCCCCCAGGCGTCCGCGTGCAGAGCTTTCCCCAGCCTCCCACCCCGCGAAGCGGAGCCACACGCCATCCGCTTGCACGGCATAGCGTGTTGCGGGGGCCGCCGCCGCCGCCGCCGCCGCCGCGACACGCTTTTCTCAAGAGTTCCCGACCGCAGAGCTGCGCCAGCGGGCGTGGCGAGGGCCCCTCTCCGCCAGGTGCGGCCCCTGGGCCCGAACCCGGACGACTGGGACTCGGACTACCCGGAAGCGTGCTTCAGGCCGGGTGACAGGTGCTCCAGACGTCGCCGTCGTCGCTGTCGCCTCGAGGGTCGAGGTTCGAGTCGGCGATTGACGTTCGATCCATACCCCTGCGGAGCTGCCCCCCACCTCCTGTGCGCCAGGTGCAGCAGGGTACGGATCAAACGGCGTGGCTTCGGAGGCCAGGATGTCATCCATATCCCCGTTCTGGGGCTCGACAGGGGGGCCCCAATGAAACCAACGCGTTCGTGCTCACCGTTCGGTAGTGCTTACTTAATGAGCAGCCAGCTTTTCATTCCCAGGCCTTCCAAGAGCTCCCGAATGGAAGCGAGTGCCTGCGCTGCCGCAAGCTGATTATGATCATGATTACGTTCTGGCCCCTCGCGGGGGTAGGTCAGGAGGGAAAAAAGACACAGGCACAATTAATCGTCGATTCCCCATAAAATGTGAGAAAATATGGGAAGTGGGGGGACGACCAAAACCCAGAACAGAAGGGGAAATATGGGGAATCCTGTTAGCTGTGTGTATTTCTGTGTGTGCTTGTGGGCCCCTTCCGTAGGGGCGTGAGCAGGGGCAGGGATAAAACGTGTTCCTGCAGAGGGCTCATTAAAAAAAACAGCAACTCGGCCTGCCAGCAGGTGCCCCACGGAGACACCTTCTCCCGCGGTGGCCCCCAGCAGGTGCCCCATGGAGTCCTCTCGTCCCCCGATGGCGCCAGGGACCCACAGAGACTGTGGGGCAGCTTGGGACCCGGGAAGACCGACGAAGAGTGCGGCCCATGAGTTCTGACAGCCTGCAGCGGGATCTCGTACCGTATGTGTCCACTGTACGCTCTCGCTCTTCAGAGGGCCTATGGGGGGTGCCCTCGTGGCCACGAACGGGCCCCTCGAGGTTCTCTTACCAGAGCGCGTCCCAAGACAGGTCGGAGTTCTCGTCCGTCGTGGTGGTCGTCCATCGCCGTCCGTCGCCCTCGCCGTTGCCGTGTCCGTCATCGTCCGCTGCCGTGTCCGTCGCCGCCAAGTCGTCGCGGTTGTCCGTCGCCGTCCTCGTTGTTGTCGCCTTCCGTCGGCATCATGGTGTCCATTATCGTCCGTCGCCGTCCATCGTTGTCCGTTGTTGTCCGTCGCCGTCCTCGTCATCGCCGTCCGTCGTCATGTCCGTCACCGATTGTCGTCGTCTTCGTCGTCCAGAAACCTCCACGCGTCGCCAAAAGATAAAGTCGCGCGCTCTTCAGCGATCTCGGCTTCCCAGCCGTTTCCAGGCCCCGTGCCAACACAGAACGACCTGCGACGAGGAAGCGGTCCCGGGGATGGGGTCGTGAGCTCCGCGGGCCCACGGTCCTGGGATGACGGCGTCGGCAGTCTGGGGGGGCCCAGGAAAGTGCACAGCCAGCATTCCCTCTTGCTCCTCCCAGTTGTGCCGGTATGGGTGAGGGGTCTGATCTACCCCCCTGCCTGTGGGGCACAGCACTAACAATACACCAGCCGTGGCGAGGGTCGGGAGTCACGACGCTCCCCTGCTGCATGCAGGAGGAGGAGGAGGAGGAGGAGGAGGAGGAGGAGGAGGAGGGAATGGGACATCGGCGGCCCTCCCTCCTACTCCCACCTCCCTCTCCCCTCCCCCCCCATCTTCCCCCTACCTCCTCTCTCCCCTCCTCCCCTCCTCCCTCCCTCCTCGTCATCTGCCCCTCCACGTTCGGGAGGGCCGCCGACGTCTCAACTGACCCTCCTCCGAGCCCAGCTCTCCTTGGGTGAGGAAGAGGGGGCAAATGTGGAGAGGTGGATGGTTGAAGGATGGAGAGAGCAGGGGGGAGGAGGAGGAGGAGGAGGAGGAGGAGGAGGAGGAGGAGGAGGAGGAGGAGGAGGAGGAGGAGGAGGAGGAGGAGGAGGACCAGTGCAGACCGAAGGCGCATCAACGATGTTGCAATAAACCCTCCCTACAGGTTCCTTCTCGTAGGCCCCCCCAACAAGCGATCTTCATTGCGGGAAGTGCTCCATCGGAAGACAACCGTCTAATAATCTTCAATCGTGCCATAAACACAATTCCTGGGACATCAGCGCCACGAATCAGCGTGATTGTTGCGTCATGACCACCCTAAATAGCGCCAGAAGGCCATCCCTGTGGCCTCAACACCGCGAATCAACATGACCTTTGCGTCCTGGTAAACCTAAAGTATTACAGAACGCCACTTCTGGGATTTGAACCAGCCGTATCCTTGAATATGCTGCAAGCTTGTAAGAAGAATGCGTGCGGCCCTAAGGCGGGAACCACTGTTTAAAAAGGACACACCCTCCATCCTTCAAGCTGCTGCAAACTAGTAGGGCGCATGTGCGCGGCGCCAATGCGAGAGCCACATTTTGAAAAGGGGCCGCCCTCCATCCTTGAAGCTGCTGCACGCTGCCAGGAGGCATGTGCGCGGCGCTCATGCGGCAGCCACATGTTGAAAACCACCCACCATATCCATCCTCCAAACTGCTGCAAGGTTTCAAAACGAATGTGCGCGGCGCGAAGGCGAGAGCCACACGTTGAAGAGGAGCCGCCCTCCACCCTTGAAGCTGCTGCACACTGGACGGTGCCAGGGCGAGAGCCACATGTTGAGAACGGCCCGTCGTCCGTCCTTCCAGTTGCTGCCCGTGTTTTCAGATGCGCGGCGCTACGGCGAGAGCCGCATGTTGAAAAGAAACCACCTTCCATCCTTGTGATGCAATGTCTAAAGACGCATGTGCGCGGCGCTGAGGCGAGAGCCACATGTTGAAGCCAGGCCCCGTCCATCCTTGAAACGGTTGCAGACTTCTAAGACGAATGCGCGCGGCGCTACTGTGAGAACCACATGTTCAAAACCACCTGCCATCCATCCTCCTAACTGCTGCAAACTTTGAGAAGAGTGCGCGCGGCGCTAAGGCGAGAGCCACATGTTGGGAACGACCCGCCCGCCATCTTTGAACTTGCTGCACTTCTCCAGCTTCAGGATGATGAGCGGTGAGGAGTTATGAGGCAAAACGCCCGGCCCGCCATACGGAAAGTTTTCGGAGCGCGACAGGGAGAGGTCATTTATAACGAAAGGGATGGAGACGAGGAGGTGGCGATGGGAGATGGGAGTGCAAGGGGGCTTCTGGCCCTGGCCGATGCAGGTACTCAGTCACGATCGAGGCGGGCGACGCTCCAGACGCGCCTGTCCGATGGGTCAAGGAGGCCGACTGTCTGCCAGAGCACGGCGACCAGGACGATGTGCCTTTCCCTCTTCCCCGCCTCCTCGCTCCTCCCTCCTCGCTCCTCCCTCCTCGCCGTTTCTTGCGCCTTCCCTCCCTCCTCACTCCTCCCTCCCTCCTCGCTCCTCCCTCCCTCCTCGCTCCTTCCTCCTCGCTCCTCCCTCCTCGCCGTTTCTCGCGCCTGCCCTCCGCCGCCCTCCCAGGCCAAACCTGCAGACGCGCAGACAAAAAAACACCTCGGGCTTCCGCAGGGGCCCCGGTTTCCGGGCCGCTCCCTCGAGCCAGATCGTGGGGCCCGTGCGTGACCGAGGCTCGACGTGGCCAGCAACAAAAAAAAAACATTGCAAACAAAACAAACAATAACAAACAACAAAAAAAAACGCTCGCTCCCCTTCTTCACAGCGCTCCCTGTGGTGGCACGATGGCCGCAGGTTGCCCGCGGCGGGCGCGACGACAGCCGCACCTCGCGGGGTCCGCGCCAGAGGGGAGCCGTTCCTCTCCAGGGCCCCAGACCCCCGACGCCACGATTGCTCCGGATGTCGGCCCATGGAGGTCTCCACCCCGTCCCCAGGACCGGCCTCACGTGCCGAGCCGTTTCTGGACGGTCCCGAGGCCCGGCCAGGGCCCCCAGAGGCCGAAGATGTCTGGGGTCCCGCGGCGCGAGGGCGAGGAGAGAGGGCAGACGCGTCGCGCGGCACCCCAGGCATCCTCCGATATGCCTTCTGCGGCCCGCGGCCCCAGAGCTCCCGACCCCTTCTCTTCTCGCTGGGGTAGTGCCCCGTCCTGCATCCCAAGACGCTGGAATAATAACCAAAATGTAACCCTCCGCGGCAGCAAGCGCAAGTTCTGTTCTGCGAAGTGGCGGCGCCCCCGGACCCCGAAGGTCAATGCTCGCGTCGAAATTGGCGATTGATGTTTTTCAGAAAGTGCGGGCCGCGTTGCGCGCGTCGCCAAACATTGAAATCGGGGAGCCGAGGGGGGGAAGAACAACTTGCGCTTGATTTCGAGGAGGGTTGCAGGTTCAGAAGAGGCTCCGGTCTTCGGTTTGCTCCACATCACCGAGCGCGTTCCACTACTCACAAAGTGCCTACTCGCAAACGTCCGGAAAACACCCGTCTGCTTTGACGCAATGTATCGTAGATCCCCGGCGGGGGATCCAGGCCACTTGCGAGCAGTTCCTTTTCGAGTCGTGGAACGCGCTCGTCGACCTGAAGTCCAGGTCGGGGAGCCCCTTCGTGGCTGCCGCTCTCCTCGGCTGGGAAAGCCCCCTCGTTCCTTGCTCTGCGTTCCGTGTGGCAGCGCGATGATTCCGTTTTGAGGAGGAGGAGGAGGAGGAGGAGGAGGAGGAGGAGGAGGAGGAGGAGGAGGGGAGGAGGGGGAGGAGGGAGGAGGAGGAGGAGGAGGAGGAGGAGGAGGAGACAGCAGAAGGGGGGCGATGACGGGCCCCAGAAGCCGAAATCGACCCGGATGGCAAGAACCACACCGGGGACGAAGCGCGGACCCGGGGTACCCGGCGGTGCGAGGACGACGCGTCCTACGACGTCGTCGGCAACTTCAGCGGCTGGGAGCCGCTGCGGCTCGTGCCCGGCGGCGCGCCGGGCACGCACGTGGCGACCGTCGAGGTCCCCCCGGGCGGCTTCGCGGAGTTCCGCTTCCTGCAGGACGGGGACAGGCAGAGGTCGGGCGGTGCGCTGAAGTCAGGAGCGAAAGAAGGACGTACATGTACATGAATCCACGCTGGTTTCGAGAGTACGCATTGCCCGAAAGTTCGTATCACGCGGCCGGTCTCGCAGATCGAGGGGCCGTGTTCATGTACATAGCTGGGTGCGTACGTCCTTGGTGGGCCCCCTATGAAGGGGGGCGGGGGCTCGTCGCTGCTCGCCGCGGGCGAAAGGGGTGGGGGCTCGTCGCTGCTCGTCGCTGCTCGTCGCGGGGGGCTCGTCGCTGCTCGTCGCTGCTCGTCGCCCGACCCGAAAGGGGGGCGGGGGCCTCGTCGCTGCTCGCCGCGGGCGAAAGGGGTGGCCTCCGCCCCCCGCGGTGCTGCAGTCTATGGCTGGCTTCGGCCCCGCCGCCCGGCGGCGCTCCTTTCGACGGCATGGTCGTTCCATGGCGCGGGGGGGTGGCGCCGGGAGATCCGGCCGCATGCGGAGGATTCGCTGCCTTCCCAGACCCCCTCGAGTAATGAAGAAATCATGACGGGAGGTTTTTCCTAGTTTTCGGCCTCTGGGGGCCCTCACCGGGCCTCGGGAGCGTCAAAAAACGACTCAGGATGACAAACCGGTCCCGGGGAAAGGGTCCAGACCTTTGGAGGTCGACGTTGCGAAACAATCATTACGTCGGGGGTCTGGGTTCCCCTGAAGGGTTTCCCCCCCTCTCGTCCGGCCCGGTTCCCGCCGTCGCTCGCCCAGGGCCGGGCCAGGACATCCCAGGACCCGCCAGGACCCCCAAGAGCCCCCTAGGCACCAGTCGAGAGGGGCGGTCTTCTGAGAGGCGCTTTGGGGCCGGGCCAGGACATCCCAGGACCTGCCAGGACCCCCACGAGCCCCCTATAGGCACCAGTCGAGAGGGGCGGTCTTCCGAGAGGCGCTGTGTCATCGTGGGCGGCGGCCACGGCCACGGCCTCGCGGGCCCCGGCCCCTGGCCCGCGACCGCGTGGATAGGAGGCCTTTTGTCGCGGGTGCCCCGCGCGGAATTTTTCTCGCGGGTGCCCCGCGCGGAACGCACCCGTGCGACCGCGTAGCCACGGGATCGCGCCCAGGGATCCAGACCACGAGGGCGCGGAGATTAGATACGCTCGCCGCTCGTGTTGTCAGGGGTCGGCCCCCTCTTGGAGGCCTCTGAGGCGGCCTCTCACAGAAGGCAGGAGGTCTTCCAGGAGGCGATGCGCCTTCTCAGTGGAGCCGCCCCCCTCACCCGCCGTCCTCTTCCGCGCACCGATGGCGAGGGTCCTGGCGCCAGCGACGCAGAGCTGCCGGAGGAAGCTGGAGAAGATCCTGGGGCCCCAGAAGGACCTCCGGAACACATGGGTGGTGGAGAGGGCGCCAGGGACCATGATCCAGATCCAGCTCCTCGTCCGCGGGGGCAGGAAGAGCGTGATGTGGCTGGACGCGCCGGGCTGAGTCCTCGGCTGCTGACCACGTGCGGCGACCAGGTGCGGTCGAAGGGGGTTCGCTGGAACCTCGGGGTGCTTCGGTGGGCCAGGTCGGTTCGAGGGCATGTGCAGCGCACGGCCTGGCGGTGCCGGCGGGCGTCGCAGAGCCCGGAGCCGAGAGCCGCTGGCCAAAAGTTGAGAGATCTCTGGCCAGTTGGCTGCTGCACCTGCTCCTGCTTCTACTGTCAAGTCGGGCACGTCTCTCTACAGGAGGAGTATTCAAAGATAGTCCAAAAATGTTCCCCCAAAAAATAGTCTGGGGATGTTTTTTTGAGTCTTTGTTTTACCATTTGGGAGAATGTTTGCTGGTGCTTTTAATTTGTTTTGTCCAAAATCCGCCTGTAGGGGGACACGCCCGACCTAATTCTATTGTCTTCTGGAATCCGAGACGAGAGAGGAAGATAGAGAGAGAGAGAGAAAGAAAGAAAGAAAGAAAGAAAGAAAGAGCTCTCCCCAGTACCCACGGCATGCCGAGAAAACTCGTGACAGGAAGAGGCGCACGTATTGCCCCAAAGATTGTTGTCTGATCCATCGGTCGCTGCGGAAGCGAGCGAAACTCATGTGATTGACTATCCTGGCGATGGGCCCAACCAGATGCAGGTATGACTGCAGCAGGGCAGGTGGGAAGAAGGGGGGAGATCCTTCTGGGGTCATGAAGCGTGTGGGGGTGTCGCCGAAGCGGGCGGGGCGCCGCCTGGCGGGCGCTGCCCTTTGGGCCGTCGCCGGAGCTCCCTGCGGGGCCGCGAAACGCCCGAGGGGTGTGCTGAAATTCAAGCGTTGAGGCGACGACGCCGTGCGGGCGCTGTCGTTGGGCCGTACGAGGGGTGTGCCAAGATGGGGCGGCGCCATGCTGGCGCTGCCGTGTGGCCCGTCGGTGGAGTCCCCTTGTGGGGCCACGACACATGTGGGGTGTGCCGAACTGGGCGGCGGCGCCATGCGGGCGCTGCCGCTTGGGTGCGTGCCCAAATAGGTGCGGTGGGCGCATGCGAACGTAGCCACTGGGGCCGTCGGTGGAGTAGCCGCCATGCGGACGGCGCCACTGTGACCTCAGGTGAAGCTCCCCATGGGGCCACGAAACGTGGGAGGAGTGTGCCGAAATTGGGCGGCGGCGCCATGCGGACGGCGCCACTGGGACGTTAGGTGGAGCTCCCTATGGGGGCAACGAAACGTGTGAGGGGTGTGCCGAAAATGGGCGGCGCAGCCATGCTGACGGCGCCATTGGGACCTTATGTGAAGCTCCTTATGGGGCCACGAAATGTGTGAGGGGTGTGCCGAAATTGGGCTGCGCCGCCATGCGGACGGCGCCATTAGGACCTTGGGTGGAGCTCCCTGTGGGGGCACGAAACGTGTGAGGGGTGTGCCAAAATGGGGCGGCGTGTCCATGCGGACGGCGCCACTGGGACTTTAGGTGGAGTTCCCTTTGGGGGCACGAAACGTGTGAGGGGTGTGCCGGAATGGGGCGGCGGCGCCATGCGGGCGGTGCCATTGGGGCCTTAGGTGGAGCTTACTGTGGGGCCACGAATCGTGTGAAGGGTGTGTCAACATGGGTGTCGATGATGGTGACGGTAATGGCGGTGATGACGATGATAGCAATTATGACGGAAATTATGATGCTGATGTTGATGACGATGATGTTGATGTTGGTGGTAATGATTGTGATGATGCTGATGGAATGATGATGATGATGATGATGATGATGACGATGACGATGATGATGATGATGGCAAAGATGCTGATGATGATGATGAACATGATGATTATGATGATGACGATGACGATGATGATGGCGATGACGATTGATAAGGATGGTCATGCTGATGGTGACGATGATGATGATGTTGACGATGATGATGATGATGATGATGATGATAATACTGATGGTGATAACGATGATAATAACGGTGATGATGATTATGATGATGATGCTGATGATGATGCTGATGCTGATGAAGATGATGATGATGATGATGATGATGATGATGATGATGATGATGATGATGATGATGATGATGATGATGATGATGATGAGGGAGAAAGGGGAGGAAGGGGAGGAAGGGGAGGAAGGGGAGGAAGGGGAGGAAGGGGAGGAAGGGGAGGAATGGGAGGAATGGGAGGAGGAGTGAGGAGGAGTGAGGAGGAGTGAGGAGTGGGACGCGGGGCTGCCTCTTCAAAACGAGGACCCAACACCACAGGAAGGTTGGGAAAAAACTGAAGTCTGCCGTGTCTGGAGGAAGAATGACGACCGTGGGCGGGTTGCGCGAAGGGGCGGGGACCAGCATGCGCTTGACATTTCCAGAGGAACTCAGGCCCTTGGTTGAAGTTGTTAGTCTCCTAACAGAGCGGCCCTCCAAAGCATCCTAACTGGAGGTGTCTGGATCCTTCGAATGACTGGCCAAGGTGGAAAAGCTTGTGTTTGGCAGAAAGTGCGATCGTTTCTACGGGCGGAGCAGTTGACTTCGAAAGCGGAGCAGGTCTCTACACCTCCATCCTTCGGGAAGTTGATGATTGATCAGGGAGCAGAGGGTGCAGGAAGGAGACAAAAGGAGGAGGGAGGAAGGAGGAAGAGGATGGAGAGAGCAGCGAGGACGGAGGGCGGAGGAGGGAAAAACGGAGCGCTCGGGACGCAGGACGTAGAACAGAAGACGCGGGGCGCAGGACGCCGGACGGAGGACGGACGAAGAGTTGAGGACCGAGGACATAGACGGAGGACGGCGAACGGAGGATGGGGGAGGAAGAATATGAGAGGGGGGGGAAGGGGTGGTCATCGGAGGCGAGGGGGTGAGATCGCAGTGGGAATATGTTCCGGTTTCGTGCTCGTGTCCTGCGTGCGGGCGGGGCGAAGCTGCGTGAGCCGGCAAGAGGAAAGGACCCTCATTTGCTGGGGCGCCGTCGGGCCAAAGGACCCCCCCTCCCCGGGTTGTCCGGCCCTGGCCGGGGGTGTCCCGCCGTGGTGTGCCGACGATGTCCCCTGCCGTCTAGTGGAGTCCCGTGAGCGATAGTGAGATCGATAGTTAGTGAGATCGATAGTGAGATGAACAGTGAGATTGATTGTGAGATCAATATGAGATCGATTGTGAGATCGATTGTGAGATGGATTGTCAGATCGATAGTGGGACCGACAGTGATACCGACAGGGAGATCGATAGTGGGGTCGATAGTGAGATCGATAGTGAGATCGATAGTGAGATCGATAGTGATATCGATAGTGAGATTGATGGTGAGATCGATGGTGTGATCGATGGTGTGATCGATTGTGAGATCGATTGTGAGATCGATAGCGCGATGGTGAGATCGAGAGTGAGATCGAGAGTGAGAGAAATGGTGAGATCGAGAGTGATGTTCATTTAGTGAGACGTTCGTTCCTCTTCCCCCCGCTCGAGCCTCCTTCTCACCCGAAGGGTGGTCACATAGGTAGGGTCTCCCTGGTTCGGTCGAGTCTGCTTGTCATGGCTCGTGCGGCAGTGACGCGCGGCCTGCTCAAGCGCAACGAAGCGCAGGAGAGGCGGAGCGGTGGAACGTGGGCGGGCCTGGGAGCAGGACAGAGCGGGGGTCCGTGGCCCGGTGGCCCTCCCCGCGGCCAGGCCTGCGGGACGGCTCTCCGCCGCCATCCCCCGCCGCGCCGCCCGCGCTGCCGCCCAGCGTTGGCCTCGGGGGCGGAGAGCCGCTGTGGGGGGGGGGGGGGGGGGGGCACCTCCCGGCGACTACCAAGGGTGCGGTTGCGACGGGGTGTGGTTTGCGAATCTGCGTCGTTGGGGCCCGGGGGGCACCACGTTGCCCTCGTCGCTCCGCCTCGGGGCGCGTCGGAGAACTCCGTCGAGGTCCTCGCCCGCCCCCCCCAGCGTGCGGGGTGCAAACCACACCCTGTGCAAAGCACACCTCGCCGGACCTTTCGGCAGGGGGAGGGGGGGGGGAAGCCAGAGAACTCGGGCATGTCAGCGACCCCCCTGAGGTCCGGGCGTTGCCACTTACCGCACGAGGCGTTTTCGCCAGGCTCTGGGCCAAGCTACCATCCCAGGTCGATCTGTGTCGAAAAATGCCGCAGAAAGATTGGGTCCAGGGCTCCGGCTGCAATTGTTTCGCGATGCTATTTTGGTATCAGGGTCGATTCGGTCGGCTCTGCTCGGCCTCCTGCCGCGTGCGCGCCCTTCCCGGCCGCGCTCGGTCTGGCGGTTTCGGGGTCCGCCTGGGTCTCGCTCTCGGTCTCGATCACGGCCTGGCTCGATTCTCTGTGTTTCTGATTCTGCTGTCGCAGTGGGCGTCTACTGCTCAGGCGTCGCCGAGGTTCTACAACGCTTCGGCGCGACACGCTGACCTCGTCCCTGTCCCCGAGCGTCAACGTCCCAAGCCTTTCGAAGCCTCCCGCCCCGCGGAGAAGAGCGGCACGCCATCCGCTCGCAGGGCATGGCGTGTCGCTGGGGCCGCCGCCGCGACACGCGAAGCAAAAGGTCCCGACCGTGACGTGTCCCCTGACTCTCCCCACCCGCTCGACCCGCCCTGTGACGCCTGCCAGTGACCGCGCTCGGAGCCTGATCAGACTCGACGTTGGACACGCGCAGTATTGGCCGCGCCCGTGTCAGTGGGGCTCCCGAGAGGGCCTCCAGGAGGCTTTGGGAGCTTCCAAGCGTACCCCCTGGGGCTCCAGGCGGACTCTCGCGCAGGCCTCGAAATTCCATTCCCCCGTCGGGGACCCCTCTTGGAGCCGTCTCGGGGGCCCCGGGGGCCGTCTTGGGCGACTCTTGGGCCGTTTGGGGAGCATCGAGGGGCCTCCAGAGAGGCCCTCTCCATTCGTGCTGGCGTCTCCCAGGGACGTCCGTGCGCCTCCAGAGGCGTCCGAACAGCACCGAAGGGCTTCCGTTGGTCATTCGTGTGCTTGCCAAGGCTCATCAGGGGGTGCCGATGGCCCCCCAGGGGCGTCCAGAAGCGCCTGCAGAGGCGTGCTGGGATTGGTTGGCCCTCAGAGGGGGCTCC